AAAAAAAAAATTTAATACAAACAATTAGATTCTACTTGCTGAATACTAAAACAATAAGAAGCCTTATTTAAAATAAATTCTTTGCGTGAAGCCTAAACACGGATAACTCTAAATTAACCATTCGTCTTCATTATTTCTAATAATTATGGATAGCAATAATGAATATAGTTCTGATAATACCCCTTGCACTAACTCTTATATTGATTCTTATACTGACCCTTATGTTGAATCTTATTCTGACTCTTACGCTGACCCTTATACCGACCCTTATACCAATTCTGATGCCGAACCTCAAGTTAATGATAATGAACCTCATAATATTGTAGCCAGAAGAAAGACTATTGATGGGGCTGCAGAAGAAAAAAGTGTAAAAAAAATCTGAGTAAATATTACCGATCCAGTAATCAAAAAAGGCTATGTAAAAAGTTACATATGGGATTATTTTCAAGAAGACAATGGACGTGTGACATGTAAGATAATTGTGCTTAAGAAAGGAAAAGAGGAAGAATGTGGAACAAACTACAAGTATGATACTGGGACCGGAAATATGAAGGTTCATCTTCGAGCAAAACATGGAATCCTAGGACCAAATGATCTTAAACAAAAATCAAACAGTAAACATCAGTTACATATTGACGAAATGGTTAGAAAAGTAAAACCTCATAGAGAAACAATACAAGAGGAGCTAAGAAGAGTTACGGCTGAGTGGTTGGTCACTGACTCTTTGCCTTTTACTACCGTTCATGGAGCAGGATATAGGAAAATGATCAATAGAATTGACCCAGCGTTTAAACCACCAAATCGTCAAACTATTAAAAAAGAACTCACTATAGCTTATCAAAAAAGTGTAATAGAATTAAAAAATTTAATCCATACTACATGTGAGACGGCTTCAATCACCACAGACCTATGGACATCTCGAAATAATGATGGATACATCGGTGTGACCGTCCATTGGTTGACACAAGACTTCAGGATCTGTGATGCCATATTAGCTGTTGAAAGGATGGATCACCCACATACCAGCGAAAAGATCAAAGAATATCTAGACCAAAAACTTAATGAATTTGGATTAATTGAAAAGATATTCTGTGCAGTTACAGACAACGG